CTGTGTGGTGATTTGTCTATACTAAATTGGGCTTCTGGTTGGGGGGTGGTCTTTTAAATACTGTTTTTTGTATATCCTGCTGCATTTATTTTTAACGTGTGGTTTTTTCCGATATCTGGGTTCTAAAAGAAATCTTTGGAATTAAGAGAAAAACAAGCTGAAAAGGAAGAAAAGCAGAAAACAAAGAAAATAGAAACAAGTGCAGAAAAGTTGCGTAAGCTCTTAAAAGAGGAGAAAAGGTAAACTATAATATTCAGTATTTTTAAACTTAAAAGAAACTACTGAGTTGAAACCAAAGTGCCATATGGAGGTAAAGTAAGTAAAAAAAAAGGATCTCAAGTGATAATTCTTAGCAAGCATATGTTCCACGTGTTTGTCTGTGAAAGAAATTAAGCACAGTCTAAGCTTAGAATTCTTTTTAAAAATTAGGATTAAAATGTAGAATAAATTACTTAACTGTTCCTGGGATATAGACTTTTAGAAGAGGAGCTGTGGTTCCTAGACTGGTGGTTTGTTCTGTAGTTATTGTAAGTTGTGGAAAAATATTAGCATCTAGTGTGTCGAGAACAGTTAAAACGTCCTGCAGTGCACAGGACAGCGTCTGCTCCTACCTTCACTGAAGAATCCATTGACCCTAAAATGTCAGTAGTGCTGAGGGAAACATGATGAAACTGCTGGGACCCAGATAGGAAACTCGGGTTGCTTCTTACCTGTGCAGGAGGGTATCAGCAATGGAGAAAAGTCACTGCGTCTTTCAGAAGCAGTGGGTTTGCCTGTAGTGACACTTGTCTCCATAGACATTCTCAGAAGTCATGCTTCATGGTGAAACTTAATGCAGTGATTGAGATTATGTCTGAGTGACAGCTTATAGAACATCTTCAAGGGATACAGAATAAAGTCAAATCTTGAGGATATTTGAATAACATTTTTGTACTTAACATGCCTAACTGACACGAGCTAACTGCTTTTTTTAAGGCTAAAGAAGAAAAGAAGAAAATCATCATCTTCCTCTTCAAGTGTTTCTTCTGCTGATGAATCCGTTTCTTCTTCCTCATCTTCTTCCTCTTCTAGTCACAAAAGGCATAAGAAAAGTAAGAGGAATCGCTCAGAGTCTTCTCGCAGTTCAAAGAGGCACTGGTCTAAGACATCTTCGAGTCACATAGATCAGAATAGGAAAGATGACTGCTACCCAGTTCCAACTAATACTTCAGCATCTTTCCTTAATCAAAAACAAGAAGTGGAGAAACTGCTGGAAAAACAGGATAGGTTACAATGTCCAAGCACACAGGTAAAAGAGAAAGAGCGATGCCTTCTCACATCTTCAGCTGAAGCGCCAGATGATTTGGGAGGTAGGTCTGAAGATACGAGAGATTTCTACAATAGCTGTAAAACCCACGCAGGTAGTAGCAAAACTGAAAAGCCATATAAATCAGAAAAATATTTCTCCAATAGGAGAAATTCCTTGGATTCTTTCTGTAGGAATTCAGAGGACAAGATGAAAGCATCTAGTTACAGGAGATGTGAAAAGGACACAGAGGGAAGAAAAGATCACTCTAGAAGGTGGGAGCCGGGTTCTGTGAAGTACTCTACTTCACCAGCAAGTTCAGACTACTCTTGGAAGTCACTTGAAAAACACAAAAAATACACTTACTCTGGATCACGTGACAGTAGACATGAGCCAAGATACCAGTTAAATACAAGTCAGGGAGAACGTGCACATGAGAAGGAGGACAGCTATGGGGAGGGCGACAAAACTGAGGCTCCGGAAGAGACACTGAATAGCAGAGAGCAGCCAGAAAACAGAGCTAAGAAGAATTTACCTCAGAATTTACTCAATATATTTAATCAGATAGCAGAATTTGAGAAAGAAAAAGGAAATAAACCAAAAAAATAATTTCTTTAGAAAATTTTCACTAAATTTTCAGAAGTTTGGGTATGCTTTAATCTAACAAACGGTTCTGGATCTAAAATTGTAGCAAATTACAAGAAGTTTCTCAGTTTCCGTTATCAGCCCCTTGTCATAGTGAGTACTGCAGGAGTGTGGGTCTGTACAAACATAACTCTTACTCTGGCAGTGTAAGCTTTTCTCCTAAAGGTATTTCTGAGCACTTTGTTTCTTCATGTTTGGGGTTTGTGAGAACCCTGTGCCTATCATATTTCACTGTTGGAGAGAAATATGTTTACGTTGAACAGTTGGATTGTTTTATCAAAAAGTACTTTATTCTCTTTTGTTAAAAAGCCCTTAGCTTCTGAGGGGAAATATTTTATGACTAAATGTTTCAACGGTACTATTTTAAGTCATTTGTTTTAAGCATTAAAATTTTTGCATCATTTCATTTTTAAGTGATAAATTATGACTTGATTTACCTCTAACACCTGATGTAAATGGTTTGAGAAAATTGTTTTCTTCCCAGCTTTAACAAAATACCTTAAGAATAAGACCATGAAAGTTGGTTAATCAGAGCCTGCTTTACTTATTTCTCCATTATTATTTTTACTTAATGGTTATGTTCATAAGAAAAATTTTAACTTTAAGTATTTACAAAATCCTAGGGAATTATAGACAAGACAGATGAGAATAGAAAATAACTGATAGTAAAAATAGCAGCAGATAAGCACCCTGTGAATCTGGTTGCCTTCTGTCTTAACCTCGCAAATGCTTGGGAAGTCAGTAGGCATGTTTCTAAATAGTGGAGGACTGGCTTGAAGTTCCCTCTTCGTCTACTCTATTACCTTCTCTGTTGATGTCTTTTCTCTGAATCATAGCGAAGGACAGAATCAATTCCAGGCCTCTGAGATGTCTCAGTAGATAAAAGGCTATCCAAACAGATGACCTGAGTGCAATCCTAAAACTCAAGGCCTCGGGAGAGAACTGACTCCCAAAGCGTGTCCTCTGACAGCCACACACACACAAACACATCTCCGAATTACTAAAAATTGAATAGTGGACTCTTGGGAGATATTAGTAGGTATCATAGCTGTTGTACTTACTGATACTCTTTAATTAACTTTCTAGAAAGTGTAAATAAGCGCCAGGCGGTGATGGTACACACCTTTAATTCCAGCCCTCAGGAGACAGAGACGGGTGGACCTCTGTGAGTTCAATCAAGGTCAGCCTGGTCTACAAGAGCAGAGCTACTTCCAGGACAGGCACCAAAAAAAAGAAAGAATAAGTAAATGGCAATGAGCTTTTAATCTCTTCTTGGTCATTGGATAGGATCCACAACTGTAGATGGTAGTTTCTGTCCTGCCCAATCCTGCAGCCGTTCAGTTCCAAAGAAACGCAGTCTTATATTAATTATAAACTGTTTCTCTTATTGCCCAGGCTTATTACTATCTAGCTCTTACAGCTTAAAATTATCCCATAATTCTTACACGTGTTTAGCCTTGTAGTTTGGTACCTTTTCTCAAGCATTCTCATCTTGCTTCTTCTGCTTCCGGATGTCCTGCCTATACTTCCTGCCTGGCCAATCAGCGTTTTGTTAATCCAATATGAGAGACAAATCTTTGCAGTGTACAAGAGTATTATCCACAGCACACCACAGACATGCATGAGGGAGATGAGGAAGTGGCAGAAAAAGAAGACTCATTGCATGTTTGTTTATACCAGTAAAATACTAAAACTTTAGTAATGATATGTACTATTTGTACCAAATTATAGTGATAGAAAACTACTGTAAAGATAACACAATAGGAAAAAACCTTGATTAAGAACAATAAATAATGGCAGCAGAAATTGGAGAATCGCTTCAATATTAGTTTCTGTACCAAGGAACTCATTATTACTATTATTATTGGGCAGGGAAAACAGTGAGTATGTGTGCTACATATGGAGATGAGAGGACAACTTGAGGGAGTCAATTCTCTTCTACCTTATGGGTCCCAGGAATCACACTCAGGCTTGACAGATAGTACTCCTGTCCACAGAGCCATTTTGACAGCCCAGCCCCGAGGAACTCTTAGGTGTGCTCAGTGTAGTAATAGTTCCAGTTTTAGTCCTACCTAGTCCTCCATAGTGGGGGTTTGTTGTTGTTAAAGAGTGGAAACACCTCCCTGCACACCACTTCATCTTTAAAATTCCTAGTACACCTTATAATCTTACACATAATATCTCACTTAACCCTTAGGAGAATGCTTTGTGGGGTAGGCTATCAGAATTTGGAAACTACAGGCTTCTTAATAGGATTGATTACATCTTTCTTAATAGTAAAAAACATACTAATTTAAGCAGTCTGCACTAACCTAAGCATCCAGTTCCTTGGGTTATTTAAGGAATCATCAGAGGAAAAAATATTGCGGATTTTAATTGATCCTCAGTGATGGCTTGAGTAGTTTCTTTCACATTAATATGTCCATGGTGTATATGTACCCCAGTTAGCTTTGTCCTGTGACTTCCGGGTGTTAAGATAACTCCAGATCTGTAAACAGGTTGCTTCTCTGTTTTGCCATTTAGCATTATTATATGCAGTTATAGTAATTAAATGTATACTTGGATGCTGGGCATTCCAGACTAGGGGCTAGAAGTAACTCCATAGGTAGAAATTAACTACTTAAAGTACAATTACTATGCTTCAAGGCCAGTATGTTTTGCTTATATCTTACGTTATTTCAATAAGACCTTAATAAGTTAATCATCCTTGTATTACAAGAAAAAAAGCATAGAAAAGTAAGCCTCCTAGTAAGAAACAAAACCCTTGCCTTTGTATAACACCAAGTTTAATGTTTTAAGTAACTTACAAAATAATATATGACTGAGAATCACAGTATTGGTAAACAAAATGATGATGGGATTAAATGTCATACATATTTGGCAGCATTCAATTATAAAATGCCCACAATTTTCTTTGCCATTTCAGTTATTAGACTTAACTATACCTTCCTGTTTCTGAATTAAAAGTGATCGTCAGTAGAAACAGATTTACTAACACTACTGCTTTTTCAGTAGTAACTGAGTAGTGGGTCTAAGACAATCACTCTTGTAATGAGTATTTTTCCCGAGGTTTAAAGAGATGCTCCTTTATCTACCTGAATGATAATGTATTTAAATCTAGCTTTATAATAGTAGTTCACACTCTCATCCAAAAAGTTCAAAGTGCTGGAAATGTAGTATTAGCTGGAAAAACTAATTTTTAAATATAGTATGCAATATCTACCTCCATTGTAAATTTAATATGTTCAGTTTTTTTCAAGATCAGAATAGAGACAGCAACTCAAGTTGTACTTTATGTATACATATATAGGGATAAATACATATGAACACACACATATATACATATACAATACTTTTCTTACCGAGGAAGTATAATGTTAATGATGCTGTCTTTCATTACAAATTAAATTCCCCCCCCCAAAAAAAAAGGCCTTTAACAGGTAGGTGTGTGCTACCCTCGAAAAAAAAAAAAATGGGGGAATATGGTTGTTGTTTGCTTTTTGTTTTTAATTTTAAAAAGTAATTTTGTGATTTAGAGTAAATGAAAATTTCCTTATTGAGATATGCAGTGACTCTTTAGAAGTGTATTCCTGAAAGAATCTTACTTCATATATGTGTTACTTCATAAAACATCTAACACTATAGACATCAGTGTTCTAGTAAAAAAAAAAAATTGATTATTTTATTTCCCTCTGCCTAATCACATGTGGCCTGCCTAAGGTTCTGCAGTTTCCTTCTCTATGAATAACATGGGGGTGGGGGGGAAGCTCCTTTTGTCCTTTTCTCAAACAGCTTCTGTAGTGCAAACTTTGGTCTGGTCTGCAGTACTTCCGATACTATTTTAGGCCTATATTGTTAATAAATGGAACCCCAGAAAAAGGAAGACTTAACTGTTAATGAGTTTTTCATTTGTGTTCAAAATTTGTAGAAGAGATTAAAAAAAAATTATTTGCTGGGCTTTTTTCCTTTTGGAGTGCTTGAATTACTGCCATTACTAGCTGACCTAGAACTATTGCTTCCTGTCAAGGATTCTGGGAAGCTGAGCTGTACTACTTTAACCGAAGGTGGAGAAGGTGGAGAAGGTAGAGAAACAGAAGAAATTGTGTCCTCAAGCGACCTAAAACAAGAAAGGATTTACTGTAAACTTAATGCAAAATGCACTTTAAAAAGATCTTACTGGCAAAAAAGTATCATAATTCTATAAGTAAAGAACAAGAAAAACCATTGGTGTTAATAAAATTTAAAAGTATGACCACTCTTTCAAAAGAAGAAATGAACATAGTTTAAGTAAATAGTTCAGTAATTGTTTCTGTGAGCAAGTTATTTTCAACCATAATCAGTTTCTTAGAATTGGAAGCAGTAGTTTATCAAATGGCAAAAAAGGAGGAGAAAGTGCTTGGAAAAGGCATCAAAATGTTAATCTTAAGTTATTTAAGCTGAAAAGGAAAGGGATGTGTTGGCTGGAGAAATGGTGAGCTTGTTTGGAAGATAGCCATTCGGTTCTAAAATAATATGTTTTATAAAAAGTACAGAAAATTTACTATGTAATAGTAAATATATTGAGTGGCTTAAAATATTTATGTAGAAGCAGGTTTTTAAACTTAAAACACTGTCTTTGAGGATGCTTTTTTTTATTTTTCATGAAAGTTTCACAGACTAATAAAAACTAGTAAATAGTTGTCAACTGTAGGAGATTAGAAATCCTAAAATCAGCTAAAAGTCAACAAAGACTTAGTGTCCATGATTTATCCCACTAATTTCTGGGTTGCATTAAGCTAAGTAAGACAACCACAAATAAAAGCTGATTACATAAGATTTCACACGAGCAGCTCTGATTACAAAACTGCATCTAACTTGCCCTCCTTTTACAGTTTCAAAAGATTTAAATTTTCTCAGAATTTGCCCAAAATGTTAGCTATATCACCTCAATTTTCACCCACCCTCGTTCCCCTAAAATAGCTTACTAGTTGCGATGAGTATGCCTGCAATGTTGACAGCTGCAGGAGTCTTGCTAGACTGTGCTTGTATAGTGAGGTTGCTGAAGGTGAGGAGAGTGGGTAGCATGCTGGTCAGCAGCAGCCCTGATTGTTGAGGCCCTGCTTTAGTAACCTTGCCCTTACCTGAGTGACCGCAGTGAAGACTGTGAAGAGGATCTGGAGCTCGGGCCTTTAACTGTGGGTAATTCTAACCCATTCTGGAAGAATATTATATTGTAATAATAAAATATCATTAGTCCTGCAACATTGTAGAAGAAAACTAATTAGATACACAGACATATTATGCTCTATTACCTGCTCAAAGTATGTTTGAAGGATGATGTGGATTTCAGCATTTTCCATGACATTGACTAACATTTGGTCAATGTCCTTGTGAAACTGTTTAATCTCGCGTAGTTGAATGTCTAGTTCTTCTAGTGTTTCATCATTTGTTCCTTTCAAAATGCGGATTTCTCTTCTGAGTCTTCCACACTGTTAATAATAACAGTCAGATATTAAACCTAAATTCCACAAAGTTCAGGAAAGGGGGATGAGCACATTTGGTACACGACAGAAGTGAACTAGGGACAGCTCTAAGAAATCACCTGCTTAGTCACACGCTCTAATTTCGGCTGCTGCTCCTCAATCTCTTTGCGCAATTGAAGGGAATAAGTTTGTTTCTCTGATAATTTCTCTTTGATATTATTTGCTAAGTGTTCTATGACTTCAAAAGTGTTTTCCATGCTCTGTAGAAAACAAAATATCAACATATTCATGATCAGAATAAAAAAAAGACTTAATTGTCAATTGCCAGATGTGTCCCTCAATTTTAATTATTTTATTTGCACACACACACACACACACACACATATATATATATACATACATACTATGTTTAGTGTATTAATGGATAAGAAGTCTAATGATGCTGTGGGTTAGTTTTGAATATAATTCCACTTGGAACTTTTTATAGAATTGGAAAAAATAGAAACAGTTACTTGAAATTATCTAGAGATGCGCACTGTGTGTCATCTGTTCCCTTAGTTAGGGCCTACTTACCAAAGCACGTTCTTCAGTCTTTGAGAGGTTTGCTCTAGTATCTACTGTCACTAGATTTTCTGTTTTAAACTTTGTTTTTAAAATCTTAATGTGCTCTTTAAGTAATTCAGTAAGGTCACTTAGTAATGGTTAGTGAATAAGTCATAATTGTCTAGATGTGGTTTATAACTAATAAAGTTATTGGCACCCAGCAATAGGATTTTAACTGATTTACTTAATGTTTCCTTCACTTGTTTTTCTTTAAGTGAGGTTTATGTTTCTTATGGTCTGCTTCCCTGAAGATGCTTTTCATACAAGATTGAGTAGTAATAATGGTAGTTGTCCTATATTTAGGACTAATTACAAAAAAAAAACTACAGAATTCACCTGGAAGTCTTCTTGAAGTTCTCTGATTTGTCTTTGTTTGTGTCTGTATTTCTCATCTGCAGTCCTTTTTTGTTCTTCTAGTTGAATTTTTATTACATACTCCTCACCTATAAGAGAATTTTAATTTCCAGTATAATATGTAGAAAGCCACTTTAACAAAATAAACCACTTATGAAAGGTTAAATGCCTTAGATCCATGTGAAAAACAGTATAGATATGTAGTAGACATTTCTTAGCATATAGCAGCAATATTTTTCAGATTCAAAATGAATTCCTAAAGAAGGTATGTCATATACCAATAAAACTAATGATGTAAATCACACCTAATACTGATTAAAAGCAATCAGGAAAGTGCATTATTGATTTTTTTTAGGCTCAATCATGGCACATTTTTATTCTCTGTGACTAGTGTTCCTCCTCTCCATTCGTTTAACTGCAGTCTCCATCATGTTGCTCGCAGTGACTGACACCTACTTGATGGAGTCACTTTTTTGAAAGATTGCTTATAGTTGTTGTTGCAGCTGTTGAGTACTTGCAGGGTGTTTTGCAGAGCATAGATTTCTTTTTCAGCTTTGTTGATCTTAGCATCCAAGCTGTCACCTTCCCTCTGAAGTTCTTCCTTTTCTTGAGCAGCCTATAAAATACAGAACAGTGCTAACATTATTTATCACAGGGGATATTGCATTGAAACATATCAGTTAATTCACAGCAGTCTACTTACCTTAGGACCTGCATTTACTTACCAGGCATTTACTTGTCCTCAGTTTCAAACACAAGACCAAATCCTTAGTCATCAAAATACAGCACATATATGGGATACAAAACCATAGTGGAAATGTAGCCAGTGCTTATAGGAAACACCAGGAGGAAGGGTGAGAGATGTGGGTTGGGGATAGCTAAGCAGCTACCAGATCTCTAGGAAGATAAATGGGGTGACTCAAAGGACGTCTTGAAATTAAGTAAATCAGAAGAATATTTTGGTTTGACAGAGCTTTGGGAACTGGATTCTTATTTGATTCAGATAAGGGTAAAAGGTAACCAGCATATAACCAGGAAAACAGTGTGTGTATATTTTCTAATATATTTTGTTACAATTTAAAAGGTAACTTTGGAGCTTGAGGGATGACTCAGCAGTTAAGAGCACTTGCTACTCTTCCAGAGGACCCAGTTCTGGTTCCCAATACCCATATCATGCAGCTCACAACCACCTGTAATACCAGTTCGAAGAGATCTGACATCTCTAGCCTTGGGTACATGCACTCAATATGTAAACACACACATACACATAAAGACTTTTTTTTAATTTTGAAGATAACTGCACAATTGATAGTAGTGCTTATAATAAATGTAGCTAGGAAATAGGCCTGTAAATGCTTTAAAAACTCAAATTTCCTACACAGTGAGCTTTTACAAAGGTAACTTCTCTGTAATGGGCTCCATCAAAATTCTCTACAATTCCCAAGAACTCTGAGGTTGACAGAATAGTATCAGTATGTATTTAAGGCTTGGTATTAAGCCCCCTTTTTAGTCAGAGTCTTCCTCAGATGCTAATATGCATATTTTAAATCAAGTTGAGAAAGCTGTTCTCATTCTTAACTTTTTTTCATTATTATTTATGTGTATGTGTCTATGTCTGCATATATGCATGCTCTTGAGATGAGGAGTATCCCTAGAACTGGAGTTACTAGCAGTTGTAAGCTGCTTGGTGTGGGAATAAACTCTGGTTCTCTGCAAGAACAGTGATCTTAACCACTGAACCATTTCTCCAGCCCCATACTTTATATTTTGATTGGCATTTTTAACTATGTTTCAGAATATGAGTTCCACATACTTTTGTAACATATACTGCTTGTCAGCTGTGGCAAACACTTGGCATAAAGAAGTAAACCCACGTTTTTTGCTCGGTATCAGAGGTGTTATCCTTCATTTGGTTGTTTCTGGCCTGTATTAAAGCAGGACAGTATGTGTGTATGGTTAAACCCTAGCTGCTCACTCTGTGCTAGCCAGGAAGCAAAGGACAATATAAACCTTACCAAGGAATGCCTCCAGTGACCTGCTTCCTCTGCCTAGGCCCTACCACCTCCCAGATATTCCTCTAAATTAAATAGCAATGACTTAATCCACTGATGAGGTTATTATTCTCAGGAGCCAGTAATTCCCAAAAAATCTACCAACTGGCAACTGAACCTTTAACATTTACATAACAAACCCTCAAAGATGATACATGAGATATGATTACCCCTGATTTAACCATGTACATGTATGGAAACATCAAACTATATGGCTATGGTTTGTGACACATAGCCAAAACAAAATGATAAAAATCAGATCTGCTGTTTCAGTTGAATAAAATAGTGTGATGGGAGAGCTGGATGAGTGAGACATTGTACATGACCGTTGAGTGACTTTAGTGAGTGCCCCTTCTCTAAGCGCAGTTCATTCATGGAATTAGTTTAATTTGTTCATCCTTTATTTATTCCTGACTTAATTCTAGGTGAACATTTAAATCCTAAAATGATTGTTACCTCTGTAAGTAAATCAGATATTTTTATATTTATAATGTACATTTTATTTGGGGTTGGAAAGTTGATATTTTGAAACAGATAACTTTAATATCACAGCTTTCCTAAAATACCTTTATTGGACAGTATCATTCAACTTTGATCAGAACAAGACTACTGACTTATAAAGACTGAGCATCTTAGATATGAAATATAAAGAATATTTTCCAGTTTTGCTTCTAAGTAGAAAGACATTAAGGTTGAAACATGGAAAACAACCTGGTATGCCACACACACAGGCCAAAGGCTGCTGCAGGACCAATACTAGGAGCTACTGTGACCATGAGAGATGTGCTGAGGTCCCAAAACCTAGTAACTTAGTGTGACCTCATTCAGAAGTCAGGCCTTTGCAGATGTCAAGATGATGTCACTGGTGGGATTGTAGTGGGCCTCATCCAACAGAACTGGCATCCTTGCAAAAACAGTAAACAGTACACCACTTTTCTCCACTTGTGCCGTGAATAGTTTCTGAGAAAACCTAGACTAAGTTTAATTACAGAGAAATACATTGCATATTTGAGGTGTGAAGCGTGAATTTATGTATGTGTGTATTTCATACAATCAAATGTACATCAGGTAAATGTTACCTTTATTACATAATAGGCCTGTGTTTTCTCCTCTTCTCCTTCAGGAGGCAGCATAACAACAGTAAGAATTTCATATCTGTTCTTAAGCTTATCAATTTTACTTAGCCGCTCATGAAACTCAGCACTAATATAGAAAGAAAAAAATTAAAATTAGTAAGAGTTTGTACTGAAGGGCTTTGGACTTGTATGATTGCTGTACTCTACTCAACCATGTTAAAGTGCTCCCTGTTTTAAGAGTTCTGTGTGAAGGTCTCCAAGTTTACTTGTCATAGCTCCATGGATGCTAGCAGAAGACATGAGGCTTGTAACATAGATGAAGAATGTTACCATTTTGACACAGAGGGAGATAGGAGCTTCCTGTCTATATGGCCTGCTCCCGCATCTCAGAAAGGCAAGAAGGGGCTCAACTAGATACTACACAAACAGGTTTTTGTTACTGCTCAGGAACCCTAAATATTTTCAAATGGAAAATAAGCCTAACTTTTGCTCTGCAGGGAATAATCACCTCGTAATTTGCTATTAAAACAGACAAGGTTAGTACCTCTCTTTCCAAGGCATTAAAATAAAATAAAACAATTCATGGTGTCAACGTTTGGTGTCAAATTTTTAAATGTTAGTTACTTCTGTTTGTTTCAGTAAGCTTTCAGGGGCTATTTTCAAGAGTTATAATAATACTAGTAAGGGTACTGTCTGCATGGCAGGGTGGAGATCGACTCGCTTCTTGCTGTGACCTAACATATTCATTCTTTTTGTAATCAACTTTCTCATCAGCTAAAGATCACAGACTGAGCAGAAGTTCATCTTCCAACTTTCTAAACAAGCTGGGTATGGTGGCAAACACCTTCAGTCCTGGTTCTTGGGAAGCTGATTCAGGACTGAGGCCAAGGCCAGCCTGAGCTATGTATCAATGCCCAGTCTCAAAATTAAACAAATAAAATATAATTTTTTTAAAAAAGAAAGGGAAGAAGCTGGGTGGTGGTAGTGCACGCCTTTAATCCCAGCACTCAGGAGACAGAGGTAGGCAGATCTCTCTGTGAGTTCAAGGCCAGCCTAGTCTACAAGTGCTAGTTCCAGGATAGGCTCCAAAAAAACTACAGAGAAACCTTGTCTCAAAAAACCAAAAAGGGGAAAAGCATGAAAGACAGAAAATATGATTGGGGGGGATCTTTTCGTGAGTTCATGAAAAGAAATGGAAGGTAACAAAAATAGATGTGTTCCTAGAGCATTACTGCAGCAGCAAGCGCTGCATTTTGCAAAAACAAATATATAATTTATAAAAACTGAATCAAGTAGAAATACAAAATAGATTTTTGAAACAGTAAGTAAACTGAATCCATGTTTGAATGTTCCCTATTAAAAGGTTCAGGCCCCCAGTGACTCCACCAATGAAGCCTTTTGAAAATTGTATAAAGAAAATAACTATTTGCATACTTGACCAGAATAAAGGTAAACACATCATTTTATGAAGGCATATACACACTCCAAAAACCAGGTAGCAGGAGCAAAGAGAACCAAAGGTCATTTGCGTGGAAGTTTAAAGTGCATAAAATACTATCAAAGTCCAGAGTGTACAAAGGATAAATTGATGTACTCTGGGTAACTTTGATAAGCTTGTGATTGTAATTACACTAACAGATCAAAGAAGTGATGTCAATAAATGCAGAAAATATTTAAAAGTTAATATATATTTCCATTTAAAAATCGAGGCAAAATTTGAGCAAAAAGTAAATTGGCTTTTTGAACATGGTAAAGGATATCTCAAAACAGGACTGAGGTATGTAGGTTAGCTTATCTAGCACACATGAAACCTTTGTTTCAATTATCAGCACCATAAAAAAATACATTTAGACTACAGAAGCTCTTAAACTATAAAATAAGGAAAATCTCCCTACGAGATCAGGCAAAAGACAAAGATATCTGTAATTACCATTATTTAGCCTTGAACTAGCAAGTACAGTAAAGAAAAAGGCTTTAAAGGCTGGAAGGAAAACTATTACTCAAAAATGGTATGAATGGAATGCCCAGAAAATTAATTTGTACTGATAAAATTACTTTAGTGAGATTATTGAATACTTAATACATAGAAATTAACTAAATAATATATATGCCAGTACCCAACCAAAAATGGCATGTTTTAAAAGGAAGTAAAAAATAACACATGGCCAGCAATATCTCATAAATGATAGGAAAATTGCTTCAGTAAGCTTAACTGTTAGAACTAGATAAGGGAAACGCTTTACTGGACCATTGTTAGAAAGTCTACAAAACTCAAGTCCAAGAACCAGGATAGATCAATTGACAAAGCGCTTGTCTTGCAAGTATGAGGATCCAACCTTGACCCCAGAACCCATGTAAAAAAAAGTGTCAAGTACAATAGCAGGAACCAGTGCTCCCAGCACCAAAGATGGTGACGAGCTTACTGGCCAACCAGCCCAGCCTAATTGGTGAGCTCGGAGCCAGTGCAAGACCCTGTCTCCTAGGATATTTCTGAAAATGACACCTAAGAATGTCATCTGGACTCCACATGCAGGAACATGCACCTGCATGTACATATACAGGAATACACAAGCATTTTTTAAAAAATCAGTCCAAGTAGATTACTCATTAGTAGGGATATGTCTCAAGGGTACAGGATTAGCCTAAAGAAAGTCACTTAGACCTCTGGCTCAGTATATCCTTTGTCTTACGCTGAAGTCAAAAACCTTTCAGATGAGTCAGACAAAGATGAGCATGAGGGTGGTGTCAGGTGTCGCTCTTGGCACCACCCTGACATGGTTTTACAACGTTCTTTACAGAGAAAAACCCCTGATAATTACCTCACAGTTTGCCGCTGCTGATCAACGTATCTGATCTGGGAGGCGAGCATGGCTTTGTGCACCTTGATTTCTTCAGCTCTCTCTTCCATTGCTGTGCACAGCTGTTGTTTCCTTTTCTCCAGGGAAAGAACTTCCTCTGCTTTACTGTGCAGCATTTCTCGGGTGCGTTTAACCTCAAACTTTAAAAGATTGTCCTCGATCATCAAATCCTACCAACATAACAAAATTTTTATTTATTAATGTGATTGTTTCTATATAAAAAAGTATTTTTTTTCTTTTTTATTGAGGTAAAAGTCAAACTTCAAAACATGTTTCCCAATTAGACCACTGACTAGCAAGGAAAGAAAGAATGGAGAGCTGTGGCTGCTCCAAATCATTTTTATTAATTCAAATTTAAGTCCAAGCTTTACTAGACTATACAGTTATTCCTACAATCGAAATGTAATATTCTAGGAAACATGTAAATCCCACAAATAAACACTTTATACTCTAAAATACCTATCACAAACTATAATGTAGAATGGATCTGTTGTCTAAAATCATTCTTCCATGTGTAGAGTTTAGCATAGAAGTTGACAAATGGATCGACTCCCACTGAAACAACATAGAGCAAACAGTTCAGGGTGTAAAACAGGCTGCTTCTCAAGCACAGCTTTCAGGTTGCAAGAGATGAGATCACTGCATCTCACATGTCCAGAAAGATACTCCTGCTGAATGAGGCATGCCAATGCAAAGGATTAAATCACTGCAACTCAGTAGAAGGAGCAAACATTTGTCTGACTTAGCACAAGCTTCTAAACATAAACATTAAAGACTCTTGAAACTTAATATTAAATGATTCATGTCAAAAAACACCCTGAAAGCAAATGGGGAAAATATTGGCACTATTTAAGAGTTATTTCTACAAAATGAAATAATTTATAAAACAAATATAAATCCCTTAATGAAAGAAAATGAGCCAAGAATATAAACTGACTATTCAAAAAATATGGAATGTGATGCAATGTTTTAAATGTTTAAAACTTTAAATATCATTAAAATATTAGCAAGTAAAAAAGTACAAATTAAAACACTGAGATTCCATATTTGCCCATCAAGTTGGAAATAAGATCTAGCCACAGTTGCACATGGCTGGTGGATGATTATTAAAGGAACCATCTAGAGGACAATTTGAGTTTAAAATAGTTTCAAGTCTCTAACATATTCATTTTTATCTTAATTACACAGCTAGAAATTACTCCAACAACTAACTGATCAACTATACAACACAATGGATACAGCACTTACACTTATTATCAGAACATCAGAAACAGCCCCAGATCACAAGAAACTTAGGTTATACTGAGCTCATAAACTGTCCCTATAGGAAGTGCTGAAGAATTACTATTTAAAGAAAAGTTGATGTAGGAAGCATGTGTAATAAATTAAACATTTGTAATAAAACATAATGATGGCAATTTTTCTAAAAACAGGAAATAATACACATTAACACTTAATCCTGGATACGGGGGATGTCATGGCTCATTTTCCCCTTAATTACTTCCTTGTGTTACTGTCCCGCGGACAGTTGCTGTGACACCTGTGACTCATCCACTGTGCAGGCAGATTCAGCGCACCTGTTTAGTCGCTCTAGCTTTGTTCAGTTCCTTCTCCGATCTGTCAACGAAAAGGTGCAGTTCGTTTATTTTGTTCATGAGAGATTGCTTCTCGTCATTATTCTTGCTGTTTGACTTCTTAAGGAAGTAGAGATCGTTCTGTAAATAGAAGGGAAGGTATCTGTTTTAAACAGTCGAAAGAATTGCAGGCAGTAGTAGATATGCCTTGCACTGAGTCATGTTTCAACACAACAGCTGGAGAGTTCAACCTCCCCACATGTATTCACACAGGAACACTGTAAGTTCAATCACTTGGGATGTTTTGGGGTTAGCGCGAGAACAATAATTCTAAGAAGTATCATGTGTGGTTTCAAGTCAGCCTAGTTTTCAAGGTGCTGACCACTCAGGAGGAAATAGGACCCTGCTAATAGCTCATTACAGGGCACCAAGTGCAGGGTGGTAAAAACACTACCGGTCTGGAAAGCTCAGAACCCTCGGTTAACAGTATGACTCCAGCGGCATACACACAGTGGCACACAAGCCCACATACATACATCATAAATAAAACAATAAAATAAAACAGATGCATGTGTTAACATTTCAACCTGAGATTGTTTTCTTCCTCTGAAAGGTTGGGAGCTCCAGTAGAGTGGGACTTCATCTAACACTCAGTCCCTCAGCCTGACCACTGCAGAGAAGAGCAAATACTCCGTGCTTTAGCCAGCCTTAACCTGGGGTCTCCTTACACTTCTGTGAGTCTGTGGGGAACAAAATGGCGTGTGCACCAGACAGCTTCATAGTGGCAAGAGCAGCTGGAGTGGTGAGGAACACGAAGGCCACTGGGGGCTCCCCACACAGCCCAGCTAAAAAAAAAAAAGAAAAAAAAAAGCCCTCTCGTTTCTTCACACTCGTGTCCTCATGTTCCACTGTAAATGGTCAAAACCTGTGGAGAACACTCAGCAGGAACCGCTTCTGTTTTCCCCTTGTTAGCTAATGAAAAACCTATGTTCAAGAAAGATCAAATAGCAGGAGCCATGTAACCTTGGCATCTAAACGTGTGCCTGATCCCAAAGTCGATGCTGTTTTCCAGCAAACCTAGGTACCGACCTGAAAACTATGTTATCAAGCTACAAACTATAAACGCCCATCAAATGTTTCGTGTTAAAATTAAATGTCTTGCTTTCAAGTAACTCGAGGCAATTCTACTTATGACCACTAGAGGCCACTCATCACCAGCCTTTCCAACTTTGCCAGTACTCACCAGCAGACGCTCCATTCTCCCTCCTTGCCCTTTCCCACCATAAATCTTCAACAGAGGTTTACAGCAGACATAATCAAGTCCCTAAAGATGAACTGTCCTCCCTCCTAACTGTAGTTGTTTCAAACATAAGTTCATAGCTGCACGAGAGCAAATTAGTCATGGGGAAAAATGTTCCCTGGTAGCACTTTTTACTGGGGCGAAAAGTGGAGTGTCCCAGTATCCTAAACAGTTAAGAATGCTTTTAAGTCAAAGGGATCTGAGTTCAAATCCTTCCTCCCCATGCACTCACTGTGTAGCCCTGAACAAGTGTCTTTGCCTATAAGAAGGGTAATCATCTTTACAAGGCATTTACAAGGGTTAAGCGAAGCCATATGGCAGGGACGTGATGCAACACCTATACAGAGTGCAAGCTCGGGAGAGCGCCATGACATCTTGAGAGCTTAGGAATACAAGCATCTGTTATGTGTGGGTCGCTAAGGCATCACTGCCCGCAGCAGGAACATGGCGAGCACTCAGCAGGATGCGGAAACCACATTAGAAGGAGGGAAGGAGGAGTTAGTTACATGCAGCTTCTTGATCTGTGCCTCCAGAAGGGAAAGCGTGGATTTTTTCTCATCCAGTGTCTTCTTAAGCTCGACAATTTTTGCTTCAAGGGTTTGCTTTTCCTCTGAATTAATTTCTCCCTTTAGTCGTGACATTCTGCGTTCGACTTGCTGAATGTAAAAGTCCTGTTGAAAGATTTTTAAAAGAAGTTACTAAAAAAAAAAAAAAAAAGAAGTTAGTGGGTGAGTGTATACACGCAAGACCTCTGTGTAAGAGCAGAAGCAGCCTGTGCGCTCCTCGCTTTGCTCTGAGCACCATTCGCTAGTAAAGTCAACTTGGTCCTTCAGGAAATTAGGATGAAATCCTTTCTAGGCTAAGGGGAGCCACAGTCTGCAACACCTGACTGCTCAACAGTCGGAGTGCAGGACAGCAACACAGACACCACAGTTGTCAAAGGACACAAAAAACAAACGCCTGTCACAGTGACTGGGAAGCTCAGTGTATAATGAATTATATTTTTAATTTTATTTTAGCATCTACGATAGCATGATATTGCAAAACTAATAATTTTTTTCGATTAAGAAATTAAGATGTGAGTGGGAGGTATTAGGAAATAAACAGAACCATGAAGTAGGCAAAACTGAGGAGAAGTCTGCAGACTTCTTTTGTTCTACTCTGGCTCCCACTGCTCCAGACTCCTTTAAAGCATATGCCTTCCTTCCTCACTAGTGTCTGTCCCCTTGCCTGTTCCTTTTAGATTGGAAAAAAAATAGCTTCTAAGGCTCTCGCGAGGCTCCGCTCTCCTAGCATGGCAGTCAGCTGTCATCATTGGCTATCCATCAAGGATATCTCGGAACACTTCATTTGCCTGCGCACTGGGGTGACTCGACCACCACGGGCATGGCAAGTCCTCACAGCAGACACTCACGGAGAAGAGCACATACCTGACTGTACATGATTTCCTGCTGCTTCAGGGTTTCAAAGTCTAGCTTGCGTAAGCGGTGGTTCAGATGTTTTAGGGAGGATCGGGTGCCTTCGACCTCTGCGGCCAGGGATTTCTCCTTCATTGTCTCATTCTGTAGCTCCTGAACTTTCTTAAAGAGCACACCCTTCACGATATTCAGCTGAACCTCCACTTCCTGAGAAGAAGTTGTAAGAAGTATAACAGTTAATTAAATTAAATAACTTAAGCTTTGTATTTACATGAACATGAACAATTAGGAGCTCAGAAACAAACGAGACCCTCCCGTCCACACTTAGCCCTTGAAAACAGAAAGTCTTCCTTAGCTTCCTCCCCTCCCCCAAATCTCTTTTCTCCTGGGCTGGCACATGAGATTGTAATTTTCTACTCCTGTCTCATTGGACCCATCATCCTAACTCCATCCCTGGCCTCAGAACGAGATACCCCAAGAGTTCTCACTGAATACTCTTGAGAACGTGAAGGAGGAACTCATACTGTCCAACTGGAAACTTCTTAGGGCCACTGTCAGGGTGAAAACACAGCCATCCGCTCTCCAGTGGATGGGGACTAAGAGCAAATACTCCTTCTGTGGTGTCAGCACACCCACAGCGGGCACTTTCAAGCTACTTGTGTACTTACACTACCATGGTTGTGTACTTACACTACCATGGAGATGGCATACAGAAGCAAACCAGCATACAGCGGGACAATGTAAGAGATGTCACTTTAACCTTGAGTACACGGCTAATCATAGAGTATAATTCACAAATGATGCATGTTATTTATTACTTATTTGAATATAGTGTTTTTAGCTATAAGTCTACTTACAAGTTGGGTTTTAATGGTTGCTGTATTTAGCAGTGAACTTATCAATATTCCTGAAACCTTAACTGCTGGCTCTTGGGAACTGGTAGGAACCAGCCCCCAGAAAACATCTGGCGCAGCCCTTCACGGAGGCTGTGAGCTCCTTGGCCTCCCTTTGTGCTGGCCTCTAGGAAAGAGAAGCAAGTCTCTGATCCGTCGCTTCTCTAAGAGGACCTACCGTGACCTCGAGGCTTCATAACCAACACATGCTAAGTTTCCCTTTGACCTGCCAAACCCAGACCAACTGCAGCTCACCACTTCCCGACGCTGAGAGAATTTTCACTCAGAGCCACATTTGTAGCTGATGAGCCCCAATGTGAAACAAAGCAATCACAGACCAGTGTGTACAAATCTTTATAAATCAAGAAATAACCGTAACGGATGCGGTATTTCTCATATAGTCACTTCTCCCTGAACTCAAGACGTTCTTAAGGATTGCTCTGCAGAATTTGAAAGTCTGGACTAAATGGTGACAAAGGCC